TTTTTTTTTTTTTTTTTTGAGATGGGGTCTTGTTTTATCGCTCAGGCTGAAGTACAGTGGTGTGATTCTAGATAATCCCTGTTACCTCAAACTTCTAGGCTCAAGTGATCCTCCCACCTCAGCTTCTTGAGTAGCTAGGACCACTTCTGGCTAATTTTCAATTTTTTTTTTTTTTAGAGATGGGATCTCACTATGTTGCCCAGACTGGCCTCGAGCTCCTGGGCTCAAGTGATCCTGACACCTCGGCCTCCCAAAGTGCTGCGATTATAGTCATGAGCCACTGGGCCTGGCCCTGTTGGGTTCTTTTTTACAGTTTCTGTTTCTTGGTAGAGATTCCCATATGTTCATTTATTACATATATACCTTCCTTTAAGTTCTCGAACATAATTTTAGTAGCTGCTTTAGTCCTCGTCTGCTCTCTGTGTCATCTGGATTGTCTTGGGTTTGATTGTAATTGACTCCTTTTCTTCTTTCTTCAGTGTAGGTTACACTTCCCTGCTACTTGTCAGAGCTTATGATTTTTATTGGGTCCTGGACATCATGAATGAATTGTTGTATAATATTAATGTCTGGATTCCGCTGGTTCCCTTGAAGGCAGCTGACTTGGCTAGATTCAAACTTTCTCTCCTACAGTGGGCAGAAGCTGAAATCTCCACTTAGTTTTTTCATCTTTGAGCTACTGTTTTTTTCCTGAGACCTCTGGTATGTCCCCCACACCTGTGAGGTGTAGTCAACTGGCCAAAGATTTGGATGGATTTTGTAGGCAGATTTGGGGACTTGACCCTCCTGTGGCTCTCACTCTTCCAGAATCCCTCCTACCCCACCGCAATCACTCAGAATGCTGTCCTTGAACACTTCAGGGCAACTAGCCTGATGCTTTCTGCCACCCAGGTGTTTGTGGGTTGGGGGATGCCCCCAGGCAAAACCCCAGACTCGCCAGTCTGACGTGTAGACAGTACATGGTAATGATGTGTTAGAGCAAGGGAACACATTAATGTGAAAACTCCCACGACACAGACTAACTTGCATTCTAGAAGGTGCATGCTGGCCATGTGAGCAGAGCGTGGTCTCCCCATCCATCCCCAACACTGTCACGGGCTCTCCTTATTTAGATAAGATTCGACCTTTGGAGCAAAATTATTTCCGCCTGCGGAACAAGGAGCTGGTCTTAGTCAGGTCAGCTTTCCCACCTCATCACTGGCAGATTCTTTTCTCGAAGAGTTCTAGTCAAATTGTCTCCTCCTAGCATCACTGACGTTACCCACTTCTTGGCTTCAGAAGGGAGCTGAGCGGTGTGTGGTGTGCAAGTGACCGATATAAACATTTAGAGAAAACTGTAAATTCAAGTTTGATTAAGCAACTTGCAACAGAAAAAATCCCAAAGGTTAGTGCTGTTAAGGAGAGAGAGAAAGTTGGAGACCCAGAAAGACACAATTGGAAATTCAGTCTTTTTAAAGAAGAGAATGCAGATGTCCCCCAAGTGAGATGTTCAATGCCGCAGCCAATCGCCGCGTGGCTCTGGGGCCATCTAGTGGTGAGAGCTGCGTCCGGCTGGCACAGAACCGAAGAATGGGTTCTGGGTCCCGCCAAAGGCACCTGGGTGGGCAACTGGGGGAAGTCAGGGAACAGTCCCCGACAATAAAGACGGGATTAAACCAGCGCACAGTCCCATTCAAATACACACACACCCCTTTCTGCTTTCCTTAGGGAAATTGTTAATAGTTTAATCTTATCTTTAAGAAAAGAAGGCTAAAAAAAAAAATTTGTGTTCTCAGTCTTAGAGGTGGGAACTCTTGGGGTGTTGGACGTGGACTTGTGCATGTACTTCCATCCTCACTGCACCCCATGGGGCAGGAGCCGTGGAGACCCCACACTTGGGGGCTGACATGGTCAGAGCTGGTGCCAGAATAAGGGACTGGTGTGCCTGATCACAAAGCCACCCACGCCTAAGTTTGCGTATTTAACTGTTTCTCAAATGCTTAACCTAGCTGATTGTTTATTTAAAAATGAAGACTGGGCTGGGGGTGACGGCTCTCGGAGTCTCACTGTGTTGCTCAGGCTGGCCTCGAACTCCTGGGCTCAAATGATCCTCCTACCTCAACCTCTCAAAGTGCTGGGATTACGGGCATGTGCCACCACGCCCGGCCTGTTTTGGTTATATATGTTGAAAAACAGCCTCTGCTCCCCTCTGTCCATCTATGGATCGGCTGTGCAACCCGGTTCCCCCTTCCTTACCCGGTACCCAGAGTGTCTGCATTTCTGCTTAGAAGAACATGGAAATTTCTGCTCGCCCCTCTTGAACTTGCAAGTTGCCTCTTTGGGCATCGTGCGTGCAACCCTTGCCCACCCAGTCTCTCTCCACCTCTCTTTAGAACTGAGCATGCAGAATTCGGAGAGCGGATCGGAGTCGCCGGCGTCCGTGGCCCTGCGTCCGTCAGCGGCAGCCCAGCCTGTGCCAGCCTCCCCGCAGGTAACAAACGCCCGCGCCGGGGCAGGAGGGCGGCCAGTGTGGACGTGTGCCCTGTGGGTTTGAAGAACTACGTGGATCCGCAGAGAGAGAAATCTATACTTTCCTGAGTGGACTTCTCAGCCCCAAGACCGCTGCTGTTGAAATAGGCACCGCTTCGTCCACATTATTAGGTTTTTTTGGCTATTTGTGAAAAAGGTCCCATCAAGGAAATGATGGGAACTGAAAAAGAAACCACTGCCCTGAATCCGACTTAGTCTCCTCTTATCCTTATCTCTCAATGAAAGTTTTCTTGGACTTTGGAAATGACCCCTTTACACAGATAAGTCAGAATTCTTAGGATTTGGGTTGAAATGGAATCTAGCATTAGAATGAAGATGTTCTTTAAAACTTGCAGAGAGAGAATTTTCATGTTGAGACTCTCTCTGTTTCTGGATTCCTGCTATGGATTGAAATAAGCTGTAGGTTGGGTGCAGTGGCTCACGCCTGTAATCCCAGCACTTTGGGAGCCTGAGGTGGGAGGATCACTTGAGGTCAGGAGTTCGAGACCAGCCTGGGCAACACAGTGAGACCCCATCTGTACAAAAAATTTTTTTTTAAAAAATTAGCCAGGCATAGTGGTGTGTGCCTATAGTCCCAGCTACTCAGAAGGCTGAGGCAGCAGGATCCTCAGTTCTAGGTTGCGCTGAGTTCTAGGTTGCAGTGAGCTATGATAGCACCACTGCACTCCAGCCTGGGCAACAGAGGAAGACCCCATCTCGAAAAAAAACTGAAAGAAGGAAGGGAGGGGAGGGAGGAAGAAAGGAAGGAAAGAAAAAGAAAGAAGCATGTAAAGTAGACATGAATGTAAAGTGAGCGGCACAGGCCACGTGAAACAGACTGAAGGCTCGTCACAGTGTGCAGAAGTCCACTATGGCCATGTGATCACCCTCGATTTAGAATCTTAAAGTTAGGAACACAGCAAAAAGAAATGATTAAAGTGGAGGAAAAAATTCATCAAAAACAAAAAGGCAGACAGCAAAGCAGTTTATTCGATTTAGAATGTGTAGCTGGACATCTTTAGCTTTTATTTCTTGCAAATATAGGGTGGGGGTGATTTTGGAAGCCCATCTGAGGTGCAGACAGGGCACGATCAGATGCTATCGTCCTGCCAGCAGATCGTGGCCTAATGGGTTTGTTTCCTGCCCACCCAAACCTGTGCTAGAGGGGTCAGCCCTCCCGCCCGCCAAGCCCCTCTCTCAGGCACCCCCTGGGCCTCGAGGGACTCTGCCTTCCTCTGCAGCAGCCTCAGTGTCACTGTCACAGCTTGAAATGTGGCCCGTGCGCCTGAGGAACTGGACTTGACAATTTCTGCAAATCTCTCTGACTTTGCATTTAAACAGCCACGCAGCTGCACAGCGAGCGGCTGCCGTGCCGGGCCGCTCAGTGTTAACAGTGTGCAAATGGAGATGCTGAGTATTCTTATGTGTTCAGTTAATTGAGGTAGAACTCACACAGCATGAAATTAATCATTTTAAAGTGTACAAGTCAGTGGTATTTAGTACATTCACAATGTTGTGCCACCAGCACCTCTGTCTAGTTCCAGAACTTTTCATCCCCCCCAAAATAAAACCTTCTCCCCATTAGTGGTCACTCTCCAGCCCTTACCCCCAGCCCTGGCACCCACAAATCCACGTCCCGTCTCTGTGGATCTGCCTGTTCTGGACGTTTCATATAAACGGAGTCTCACACTGTGTGTCCTTCTGTGTCTGGTGTCTCTCACTGAGCACGATGTCCTCAAGGTCCCTCCACGCTGTGGCCTGTGTCAGGCAGTGGTGTCATGGCTGAGCGACATTCCAGTGTGTGGAAGGACCACACTGTGTTTGTCCTTCATCCACTGATGTTTGTGCCACCTGTGTTCTTGTGGCTGGTTGTGAGCTCGCAGAGGGCTGTGTCCCTATGAAGTCTCCGGGCGCACAGCTCCCAGCTCAGCTGGACCCTAAATGCCCTTAGGGGTGTCCTTTTTGTGCCTTCTTCACCTTGCCGCTCCGTTCCTGGGACACTAGGGGACAGTGTGTCCTCACTGCGCACCCCTCAGTGGTGTGTGCAAGGCAGAGTCACCGCGACCCGTGACACTCAGGGTCCTTGTGAGAAAACCACCGCGTGGCAGTCAATGCCCAGCTCTAAATAAACACAAGAAACGCTCCTGTTTCTCTCCCAACGCACAGTTCACTTGGACTCCTCATATTTTCATGGCTCTGGGGGGCCAGTCAGGTCCTCCGAGCAAAATAGCAAAGCCACCCTGTGATGACGCGACTCAGGAGACCAGAGAGCAGTGGAGGCAGAGAGTGAGGGACCTGACACAGGACACCTGGCTCGAGTCTGGGTTCTAGAATTTAGTATCCTGGGGCCTTGGATACTACGTGACCACTCTGGGCTTCATTTTCCCTCTTGTATAAAACAGGACAAATGCGGTGTGCACTGCAAAACCTCGGGGTGCCACAAAGCACCCTCCCAGGGCTAGTGGTGTGGACAGGTGTCCAGAGGGTCCCTCTGTGCCAGGGACAGCCAGCATCAGCTCATCGCAGACTACAGACCCCACAGAGGCAGAGCTGCTTGGGGCCGAGTGGAGGCACCTGTGCTTCTGTGTGTGTGTGTGCGTGTGTGTACATATGTGTATATCCGTGCCCGGGAGTCTGCGCATGTGTGTGGTGCGCGGGGGTGAGTGTGTGTGCACACTTGTGGACGTGTGTGGGGTGTTAGTGTACCTGCACGGGCCTGCAGTGTGTCCGCCCAGGTCGGCATGAGCGTGTGCGAGTCCAGCCCCGCCCTCCCCCCGTCCTGTCACCCTGCCTGTTTAGACAAAGCCGCAGACAGCCTCCGTGTTCTGTGTTCGTCTTCGGCACTGACCTCTGACACGTCTCACCGCCTCCTCTCCCTTCTCTTTCAGAGGGTATTGGTCCAGGCCGCCAGCTCCGCCCCCAAAGGGGCCCAGATGCAGCCCATCTCTCTCCCCAGAGTGCAGCAGGTAACGACAGCGCCACAGCACCGGCCACGGCGCGGTTGGCACTTAGCGACTTAGAACCATCTCTGAGCGATTCGTCCTTTCCTGTTGTTGCTGTTCCTTTTCGTTTCTTAGCCAGAACGCTTTTCCAGAAGCTATATGATTTTTTCTTAAAAAAATTCTTTTATTGCAGATAAAATTCTTTTATTGCAACAAGCCAGGCAAGCTGGTGATCTTTCGTTTGTTCATAAATTCAGCAAGCATTTGGGAAGTGAGAGAGCACCCAGTGCTCAGGGCAGTGCTGAGGTAGAAATGCAGACAGAAAGGAAGGGTGCTGTGGCTGGGCACGGTGGCTCACGCCTGTAATCCCAGCGCTTTGGGAGGCCGAGGTGGGATGATTTCTTGAGGCCAGGAGTTCGAGACCAGCCTGGGCAACATAGCGAGACCCCATCTCTACAAAAAAAATTTAAAAATTAGCCAGATGTGGTGGTGCACACCTGTAGTCCTAGCTACTAAGGAGGCTGAGGCAGGAGCATCACTTGAGCTGAAAGTTCATGGCTGCGGTGAGCTATGATGATGCCATTGCTCCAGCCTTGGCAACAGAGCAAGACTCCCATCTCTTAAAAAACAAAATGAAAGAAGGAAATAAATCGTTCCAGACTGGAGGAACATAGAACCTCCCAGAGAGGCAAACTCATCTGCAAGCAAGTGCAGTACCCTCAGACAGGTGCACCACAGAGGAAATGCCTCTGGTGAATTAAATTACCTAAAGATAAAGTTTGAAAGCATGGCTGGCCAGCAAGTGGTAACACAGGTCATCAGCTCAGGGACAGGTGGTGGATCTAGAAGGGCAGTCAGCAAACCATTTCTTAAAAAGGCCAAATAGTACTTTTTTTTGGCTTTGTGGGCCAGGCGGTCTCTGGAACAGCCACCTAATTCTGCCGTTGTAGCACAAAAGCAGCTTTAGACATAGGTAAACAGATGGTCAGGGCTGTGTGCCAATAAAACTTTATTTACAAAAACAGGCAGTGGGCCAGATTTGGCCCCCAGGCCCAGGTTACAGTTTGTCAACTCTGCTCTGTAGAATCCTGAATTAAAGTTAATTCAGACTTCTTCTTAAAAGGACCCATGAGACCCTAGAAAATGCACCTGTCTCTTCAAGGATGTCCTGCTTAGATTAGTAGCCTGTTTATAAATGTTTGTCAGGTGACTGTGTCCGTGGGAACAGGGAAGGTTTGCAGGCCCAGCAGGGACCCAGCGTCTCAGGTCAGTGGCTCTGTCTTAACTTCTGTCTATGTAAGATCCTCCCCAGGGACACCATCAAGGGAGGGGGGACAAGGACCTATGTGTGATTCCAGAAGCTTCCCCAACTCAGGGCACCTTGAACTTGCCAGGTGACTTCTGCATTTCACTCAGTTCCCTAGGGCTTGACATTCAGCTTTCACCCCTGAGGATAGCACCCAGCCTATGGTCACTCCTGGAACTTGCTGTTAGGCGCGTGTATACCATGCTCCGTTGTCCCGGGAGGTGGGGGTCAGCCCTGTCCCACGGCTTCAAGCAAAGGCTTAGGGAGGAGGGTCACCACGAGACCCGAGCAAGCCCAGCACTGTGACCCTCCATCTTCTCACCCCAAAATTAGGCTGACCTCGGCCGGCATGCACTAGGATGCCCTCCGTGGTGAGAGTTTAGAGTTCCACGTGCAAAGCGCTGGACGGGGCGGGGGTGGGGGGGACACTGGGGTCCCCCATTGCCCCATCTCTCCAGGCATGTCGCTCCTTCCAACCCTGCTCAAACTTCAGAGTCTGCCCTCCTCCCTGTCAGGGAGTGTCGGGAGGGGGACAGGTAGAGTGTCATCAGCTCGAGCCCTCTGCCCGAGCCAGGGACTGTCCAGTGTGCCAAGGCTGGAGCTCTGTCCCCAGCTTTGGATATGTCTGTCCTGGCGTCCTTCTAGGAGGGCCGACTGTGGGAGGGACATTTGCACTTGGTACTAAACGTTCATAAACGGCAACAGAAGACATTTGCGGTTTGAATAACGCGGAAATAGCTGACGCGAGAACGAGCGGCGGTGACTCGGTGTGTTTGGTGCCGTTGCAGGTGCAGCCCGTGCAGCACGTGTACCCCGCGCAGGCGCAGTACGTGGAGGGGGGAGACGCCGTCTACACCAATGGAGCCATGTACGTGCTGTGGATAAGACCTGATTTTCCGTTTCACAAGGACTCGTGGAGCGTTCTGCTCTCTGACCATATGACGCTGGGGGCAGAAAATGAGGCGTTTCTCTGGCAGTTCGTTTGCTCGAGACGCATTTGTTTTCGTGTGTTTTGATGATTGTCTTCACACGAGCAGGGGCTGTGTGTGGGGGCTTGGCGTGATTCATGTTGTGATCGGTGGAGTTGGTCGATTTCCGAAAGCACGACGTTGAAGCAAAGGAGTGCGTGTAAAACTGGCGAAATGGGAACAGCCCGTGGGTTGTACTGAGGCCACTTTCCCGGTTTTGATGTGCTGCCATTACACAGGGGACAGTAAACAAGCACATGGCTCCAAGAGACCTGGGGGGCCTCGCTGCCACCCAGAGGGACACGTCACTAACCTTCACTCACCAATCAGGAAAAACCGCTGCTACCCACCTTTTACGATGGCCGGCAGCACTCGAGTGTGACTTAAAAATTTCAATCTTAGCAGACATGGTTAATCCTTTAATCCAGATGTTAAAGGAATATTAGATGCATTCTTGGTGTCACTTGGAAATTATTTTTCTTATACAACTTCATTCTTTTTAGCTTTTTGTTTTGAAATAATCATAGGCTCACAGGAAGTTGCAAAATGAGTACCTAGAGCCCCGTGGATGCTTCCTCCTCGGGCTTCCCCAGGGGTGACACCGTACGTGACAGTCGAGCAGTATCAAAACCTGGACATTGGCATTGGGGCCATCCTGTTAGCTGGCCTGTGGGCCTTATTCAGTGTCACCCGTCGTTGTGCACATTCCCTCGTGCGTGTACGTGCGTGTATGTTCCTGTGCAGTTGAATCCCGCGTATAGACGCGTGTAACCACCACAGTAAGATACAGAACTGCTCCCTCTCCACCCGGTTATCCACGTGGAATTTTTTTTGTGTGGTCTTCAATTAGCCTGTCACCCCGAACGGTTTCAGAGAGTGGAGCTGAGCTCTTTACTGTGTCTGAGTTCCACCCGCCATGTCCGAATTGCTCCGCGTGCCTGGTCTCGCGGCTCCAGCCTGCCCGTGACGTTTTGCTGCGTTCCTTTGAGACTCGGATGCAGCGTTCAAACCGGACAGGGTCCCACGGTGACCTCTCTCTTTCTGACAGACGCACAGCCTACGCCTACAACCCCGAGCCGCAGATGTACGCCCCCAGCAGCGCTGCTTCCTACTTCGAGGCCCCGGGAGGTGCGCAGGTGACGGTGGCAGCCTCGTCCCCGCCCGCGGTGCCCTCCCACAGCATGGTGGGCATCACCATGGATGTCGGGGGCAGCCCCATCGTGTCCAGCGCGGGAGCCTATCTCATCCACGGGGGCATGGACGGCGCACGACACTCCCTGGCCCACACCTCCCGGTCATCGCCAGCCACGGTATGTGGGAGGCCCCCCGGGGGCCAGCAGGGTGGGCCATGTGTAGACTCGCAACACCAGCAGCAGGGACGATGAGTAAGAGGCAGCCCAGAGCCCTGGGGGGCTGTCATCTGCGGTGGACCCAGGTGGCCCCATGTTGGAGTCCCGCCAGCCTCAGACGGGCCGAGTGATCCTAGGCAGGTCTGTGGGGCTCTTTGAACTGCAGCCCACCCTGGTGCAGAGAGGAACAGGAGCCAGGAGTCCCGGCTATGGTGGAAATCGCACGAGTAAAGCATCTCCCACTGGTAGCTGTCGCCGCTCGCGCTGTCATCGTTGTCGTCTTTCCCGTTTTCGGAGGCTTAGATCAGTCCATCCACACGAAAACAGGACCCACCCAAACAAGACAGAGTTTCCCTGCAGAGCGCTACCGAATTCTTACTGCCGCATTCCCGTGCAAAATAATTACTTACCTGCTTTTAAAAAGTCTCTGCTGTTAAAACTCCATTTTCCGTGTTTACTTTTATTTTGTTTTAGCTTTTAAATTAGCAACAGAGTAAAGTTGACTTTTTGGCGTACAGCCCTGTGAGTTTTGACACACGTGTGGATTTGTGTAACCACCCCCACAATCAGGATACCCACAAAACCCCCGCGTGGTGTTTCTTGGCGGTCAGAGCCCCCTGCCCCCACCCCTGGCAAACGCCGATCTCTTTCCTGCCACTGTAGTTTTATCTTTACAGGCGTGTTGTGCAAATGGAATCACACAGTGTGTGACATTTTAAGACTGGCTTCTTCCACTTTGTGGTGCCTTTGAGACTCAGTCGAGTCGTTGCATGGGTCAGTAGTTGGTTCTTTTTTGTTACTGAGTAATATTCCGCTACACTGTAGTTTGTTTATTCACTCACTAGTTGAGGGCCATTTGGATGGTTTCCGTTTTGGGGAGATTATGAATCAACCATCTCTGAGAATTCACATGCAGGGTTTCGTATGGACGTATCTTTTCCTTTCTTCCGGGTAAATACCTATGCGTGGGATTGCTGGCTCACAGACGCAGTAAGTGAATGTTTAACTTTATCAGAAAACACCAGAGAGTTTTCCCAAGTGGTCGTCCCATTTTGCATTCCCACCAGTAACACGTGAGGGTTCCTGACGATCCATTTCGCCGTCCCAACTTGATGTCGTCGGGACTCTTTAATTCGGCCATTCTGCTAGGCATGTGGCGGTACCGCACTGTGGTTGTAACTTGCATTTTCTTTATAGCTCCTGATGGGAAACAGCTTTCCATGTGTGTGCCTCCTTTGCTAAATGCTCTCTGGTGAAGTGTTAGTTCAAGTCATTTGCTTAATTTTTTTTAACCGGGTTGGTTGTTTTTGACAACTGAGTTTTGAGAATTCTTTATATATTCTAGATACAAGTGGATACAAGTATCCAGACATACTTCTCTCCTAGAGGACTGGTGGGGTGGAACCAGGTTTAGGGTTGTTATTGACCAGAAAGTTCTCACAGACAGCATTCATTTTCGGGTTTGATTTTAGCAAACTGCATCAACTTATAATAGCTGAATATACTGGGATCACAAGTCACAGGTCTACTGAGAAATGGCAGTGTTCTCTGTGGTTCAAGAACCATCTTGTAGCAAGCAAACATGCTCCTCAGACCCCTGGGCCACCCAGTTACTGTGGTTTGTTGTCCAACTTGCTTTGGAAGAATTGAATTTTTTTAAGCACACCGACAAGCTCCTGGGGAGTTAGCATCTTGGATGGGAATGTGATTCCTGACTTCTGCCTGCTCTGTTGATGTTTATTGGCTTGTTTTTGGCGTGGGAACATCTCACAAGTATGTCACAGAGATTCGAAGGACTTTCCAGGAGCCGAGAACAAGAATGGCCCTGAGATTGCAACAGAAATATGGCTCTTGGACCCAATATTTAACATCCGCCAGTTTGTTCATGTCAGAGCTTTGTTTAGTGGGACTTTTAAGTTAATCCCAAAAACAGAGCATGAAGACTGAAGCAGGCTGGATGCAGTGGCTCACACTTGTGATCCTAGCACTCTGGGAGGCTGAGGCAGGAGGAGTGCTTGAACTCAGGAGTTCAAGACCAGCCTGGGCAACATAGCAAGACCCTGTCTCTACTAAAAATAGAAAAATTAGCCAGGCGTCGTGGAGCATGCCTATAGTCCCAGCTACTTGGGAGGCTGAGGCAGTGAAGCAGGAGGATCACTTGAGCCCAGGAGTTTGAGGCTGCAGTGAGCTATCATGACGCCACTGCACTATAGCCCAGGTGACAGAGCAAGACTCTGTCTCAAAAAAAGAAAAAAGGCTGAGGCATGAAACTCTCCTAGGAGTCACTGTATTCTTCACCAGAATGTATTCATATTAAAAAGTTTTAAATTTTTAATTTAAAGAGAATCAAGTGCTGTGGCTCATACATGTAATTCCAGTGACTAAGGTAGGAAGATTACTTGAGGCCAGGAGTTTGAGGCCAGCCTGGACATCACAGCAAGACCCCATCTCTAAAAACATACATACATACATACATAAAAATTTTTTAAATGGGGGAGAAAGAAAGAAAATACTGGTTTTATTGAAGAATGTCCTTGATGAAGCAGTAAAAAGTATAAATTTTGTTACGTCTCAACCCTTGAGCACACATCTCTAGTATTCTGTGTGATGAGATGCAAAATCTACCAAAGTACAATGCTCATTTCTAGCAAAAGCCTGCTTGCACTTGTTTGAATTATGGGCAGAACTAGTCACTGTTTTCATAAAACAACATGTTTTGATTGAAAGAATGACAGACTATGATTACTCGGGCTCAGGTATTTGGCAGACATTTTCTCAAAAATGAACAACAGTAAGCATGACATATTAAGGAGAACAGCTGGCAGGTTTTTGTTGCCAATGATAAAATTTAAGCTTTCAAACAAAAAGTAAGAATTTTGGAAAACTTATGTCTGCCACTAGGAACCTGACAGAGTCTCAGTAGTTAATGGCTTTTCTGGTGAGGTTGGTAGCAATACTAACAGATGCGATTTCTTGATATTATGTCAACGTTTAGAAGATGTGTAAACTCAGAAAACCCATATTTTCCAAGTGACCAATAAATACATGATGTTTGCTGTTATATAACCATGCCCATCAGTAAAAGATTCATTCAAATTACAAGAGAGACTAATACATTTTAAAAAATTAGTTCTATGTAATTATTTTTCTTGAGATAAAATCTACCATTTTAAAGTATACAACTCAGTGGTATTTAGTACATTCACAATGTTGTGCAGTCATCACCACTATCTAGTTCTGGAATATTTTCATCACCCCATAAGGAAACCCCACCCCCATTAGCCATCATTCTGCACTGCCCTTCACTCCATCCCCTGACAACCACTAATCTCCAGGGATTTGCCTGTTCTGTACATTTCATATAAAAGGAGCAATACAACATGTGGTCCTTTGTGACCGGCATCTTTCATAAGCGTAACGTTTTCGAGGCTCACTCATATTGTGGCATGTGTTAGAACTTTATTCCTTTTATGGCTAAATAATAGTCCATTGTATAGATGGACTACGTTTCATTTATCCATATATCTATCGATTGACATTTGGGTTTTTCCACTTTTTGGCACTTTGAATAAGTCATTCCACTGGCTTCTGGCCTCCATGGTTTCTGATAAGAAATCAGCGATTACTTTTACTAGGGATCCCCTGTTTGTGACAAGTCACTTCCCTCTGACTGCTCTCAGGATTCTCTCTTTGTCTTTGTCTTTCAACAGTTTGATTACAATGTGTCTTGCTGTGCATTTCTTTGAGTTTATAGTACTTGAGTTATATTGAGATTTCTGAATGTGTAGATTCATGTCTTTCATCAGATTTGGGAAGTTTTCAACCATTATTTCTTCACATATACTTTCTGCCTCTTTCTCTCCCTTCTCTCCTGGGACTCCTGTTGTGTGTTTGTCAGTGTGACTGATGGAGTCCCTCGAGTTTCTTAGGTTAAGTTTCTTTATTTTTTCATTCTTTTTTCTCTTTGTTCCTCAAATTGAATAATCTCAATCCACCTATTTTTAAGTTCCCTGATTCTTCTGCCTGCTCAAATCTGCTGTTGAACTTCTAGTGAATTTTTCATTTCAGCTATTGTACTTTCACTTCCAGAATTTCTATGTGGTGCCTTTTTACAATTTCTGTATCCTTATTGTTATTCTCTATTTGGTGAGACATCTCTCTCATGGCTTCTTTTAATGCTCTATACATGATGCCCTTTAGCCCTTTGAGCACATTTTAAATAGTTGATTTAAACTCTTTGTCTCATAAATCCAACATCTGGGTTTTCTCAGGGACAGTTCTCTTTATTTTTTTTTCTGTGTTGGGCCATACTTTCTTGTTGGTTTGCATGCCTCATAGTTTTTGTGTAAAATTGTGTATTTTGAATATGGCAACTCTAGATATCAAATTCTTCCATGCCCCCCCGGGCTTGTTGTCACTGCTTGTAGTTGTTGTTGATTGTTTGTTTGTTTATTTAATGACCTTTCTGGAATAATTTTGTAAAATCCGTGTTCATTGTCATGTGTGGCCACCAAAATCTCTGTTTGGTTAGCTTAGTGTTCAGCTAATGATTTGACAAGAGTTTTCCTTCAATACCAAGTTTCATCTGTTTTTTTCTTGATTAAGGGTTTACCTGGTTGCTATAAACTTTTCGTTGGTTTCCAGAGTTCAGATAAAGTTGATTTTGACAGTTTTTGCCAATTTATTCAGTGCTTTTGTGGAGGGATGGATTTTGGAGTTCCCTACTCTGCCATTTTTGCTGACGTCACCTTGAGACTAATGAATTTCAATGAAACTGAGTATGAAAAATTCATTGGTGTGGTTTCAAATTCTACATTGCAGCTAACTCTTAAGAAACTGTGATACTAGTTGTCAAGTGTTGTGTAACAGGAAGTAAAAATATCCACAGTTATCTGAAAGGCTATTAAAACACTGGTCCTTTCCAACTCTGTATCTGTGAGGCCAGATTTTTTTCATATGCTACAAATAAAACGGCATCGAGTAATAGACGGAAATATGGAAGCAGATGTGTGGATCTAACTGTCTTCTATAAGTCAGACACTCAAGAGGTCAAGAGATCTGTAATAATGTAAAACAATTCCACTCATCTCATTTTTTTCTTTTTTGGAATTTGGAAAATATAGCTATTCTTCATTGCGAAATGTTATGTTAACCTGTAATGGGTTTATTATTTTTTAAATCAATGAACACATATATTTTTTAAATTCTCCACTTTAATTTCTAACATGGGAAATATCGATAGATTTAACTCTTAAAAACAAAAGCTCCGCTTTTTGGCGGGGGGGGGGAGTTACAAAATTTTTTAATACTGTGAAGGAGTCATCAGACCAAATGGTTGGGACCCACTAGGCTGAGAGAGGGTGTTTCCTTCCCCTTCATAGTCTACCGTGCTCTGGACAAGGCCACCGAGGGTTGGGCACACTACCAGAGGTCATGAACTCCACTCTCGGGGCGCCATGGTTGGGCGGTGTCCCATGTATCCCACGTGGGAGGTTCCCCAGGACAGTGATCAGTAGACTGCCTGGCTCCTCCCCGCTGTACGGATTGGAGGAGGCAGGACATGTGGTTTGCCAGCACTTGCCCCACTGCCCATGATGCAGACCAGAATGCCTGCGAGGCCGGGGAGAGGTGTATGTGTTACATTTTTCTCTCTATCATAGAGGCGGTATTGACTATGTCCCCCTCCCTCGCCTGCACTCTGGGGCCGATGGGTGGGGGAGGTGGGGCGAGGTCTCACCTGAGGTCCTCCTTTGCCCAGTGAGACCCAGCACCTTCTGCACTTCTTAAAGGTGACGCTGACGTCCTCTTTGGCTTGTAGCAAGTGCAGCGAATGAGAGAAAGCAGGACCACAGCGGTCAAAGAGGCCCTGGGGGAAGCAGTCACCCTCTCCTTCTCGAACTCCGCTCTGGGGAACCCAGTCTCTGAAACACACGCTCGACCTGCTTTTTGCAGAAGTGTCGTCCAAGTCTGTGGCCTCCCTGAGTGTTTGAGGAAAGGCAGCACATACTTTAGATCCATTTCCTTCCGTCACAGTTCTCTGCCAACGTGCAGATGCTGCAGCAGCCATGTTTGGCTGGGCTCTTCCTCCTTGCGTAGACTTGCTGCCCGTCTCCCCTCCAACAGGTCCTTTAGGACCCAACTCAAAAGCCCCCTTCCTCCAGGGGGTCCTACCATTAGCACCCCTGACTCTTTCTTCTTCAACTTCGTTCTCTTCCCCACCCAACTCTCTTTGTGCAGCTCACGCTTCATAAACATTCAGGATGTGATCTCTGTGACTGTGTCCACTGGCCCAGGGTCCTACACCTCCTGATGGCAGGGTCTGTGTCTTTGGTCTCACTGGTATTTTTCCAAAGCATCCTGCAGCGGGGAGTCCCTGGGCTCTGCGACGGGACAGGCTGGCTGGGAAATCAATGCCACCATCTGTCCTTGGTTTCGTTCACCTAATTCTCCCTAGCAACAGATGTGGTTTATGGACAGGAGTCGGGGATTATCATGCTGGCTTTGCAGACACCTGAATTTATGCAGCGACTACATATTAATATGTTATGCATGTGCACATGCATACGTTGTGTTAGAACCCAATGGCAAGCTTTCACAGTGTGACTTCATTCTGCTGCTTCTGTTGGTCAGGCTCTCAGGCTCCTCTGCATGTGACAAAGTAACACTCCCTGGCACAGCTTTAACTCACGATTTAACTCACTCCCACGGCCCTGCCGGTGTGGAGCTTTGTTTTTATTTCGTAGGAGTTCAAATCATTATTTGGATATTAATAAAAACAAATCTTGGCTGATGCTAACCATCTGATTTCCTTTTTTTTTTTTTTTCCATTTTGTTTTGTTTCTGCACACATTTTCTTTAGCTTGAAATGGCGATTGAAAACCTCCAAAAAAGCGAAGGAATCACATCACACAAAAGCGGTTTACTCAACAGCCATGTAAGTGTGTGTCTGACTTGGCGACCTATCCCTGCTCTGCTTGTAACCTGCATAAACATTTTAAAAACAAGACAATAAAATGACACCTTTAAAGTGCTGAAAGTGGGCGGGGAGGGAGCCAACCTAGAATTCTATACCCAGCAAAAGTATCCTCCAACAATGAAAAGGGGTAATCCAGACAGGCTCTTCATTTGTAAAAGGTAGAAAATAATAGCACCTCTTAGGGCTGTTACAGGGATCAAATTATTTAATATATAATCAGTGTAGTTATGTATTAAAAATAAAAACAAAAACAGCAACAAAAGAGAGAGAAAATGACATGGGATCAGGAATGCCACAAGGACTCTTAGCTAATTGTCCTGGGATCAGCTGTCTGAAAGAAATGGTAATTTGAGAAAAGCATAAAACAATTAATCCCTCCTGATTTTAGTTATATAAGATTTCTTTTCCTTCTCTGTCCCATGGGAGGAAACCATGATTGTAGACACCATGTTGGGAAGTTGTGGACGTCCCGACTCTAGATGGCTTCATGACAGGTGGGACTGGAGGAGGTGACCTCCAAATGCTGTCAGTTCCCCTTTGCACATGCCTGGAAGTGTGTTCTTCACGTAAAAACTAGAACAGGCCACTGGAGTTAGAACGTGCTTCTAGCAGTTGCTCTCCAGCTCTTAAATTGAGATTGGACATTCTCTTGAGAATTCAAACATCAAAGAAAAAGAAGTCCCCTTCAGTGGAACCCAATCCTAACGGTGACCTCATCAAGCCTTCATGCCGCTGGCGTTCAAAATGAAGTGTCATTTGGAAGGCAGTGACTCAGGGGGCAGAAGCTGATCTAGGGAAAGGTCCAGAAACTTGGGTTTATGGGTTGGGCACAGGTGTGGTCGGCTGCTCAAGGCAGCACCTGGTGAGGGGCTCTGCTCCCCGCCTCGGTGGGCTGGTCACTAGAAGAAATAGCAGAAATATTTCCTTCTACCGGTTGTCTTGAAGCAAAAAAAGGTATATTAGGCCCCTGGCCGCCCCCACCGGGCTGGGAGGGACGTGGTCACCCTGTCGTCCTCCCTATGCACAAACCTGGGGGGGAGGGGAAATCTTCAGTGTGTGCTCAAAGAGAGGATCCCCCAACCCCGAGTCTTAAGCTTAGAGAACAGTGAGTAGAAAAGCCTGCAGAATGACGTCTCCATTCAGCAAGACGAACCCACGCGGCCACACGCAACCCGTGGGGCAGCGTGGCCATGGGGAAGTTAAAATGTCTATGGGAAGCGTGCAAGCCGCTTGTCCCTGCGTATGGCTGGCTGACACTTCCCGTCCTTACTCAGCGAGCCCTGCCTGGCACCCCCACCCCCATCTGCCTTAAACTTGCAGTTCTCCCTCCGGGCCCCATTCCCGGATGGATTTCTCTCGTAGCACTTAGCGCCATCCCACATTTGGTGCATTTTACCTGTTTATTGTCAGTCTCGCCCCTGTGAGAGTGGATGCTGCTGGAGGGCAGGCGGTTCGTGTCTGTTTTTCTGTCTTATTCGTCACAGCACCTAGAACAGGGGCTGGCATAGAGCCAGCGCTCAGAAAATATTTGCAGCATGGATAAGAAGGTGGGTGTTCCGGTGGGGTTCCATTGATGCGGGGCAAACACAGGCGCCCGGAAGGGCCGCCCAAGCTGCCAGCAATATATGGCCGGGCAAGAATCCAACTCGCCACCAGCCGATCGGGAGCCTACGTCAGGCAGGTCTGTCCCAACGGCAGACGCAAGTGTCTTAGAAGACAGAGGGGGCTGGGCAGGTGGGCTCGAGCCCCGCCCTCCCACCTGTAGGTGAGGACGTCTGTCCAGGGGCTGCTCCACCAGAGCCCGGAACCACAGCGAAGGGCGGCTGGGGGTTTGGGGTTTTTTCCTCTTAAAAGGAAGGATTTGGTCCATTTCATCAAGAAATGAGCCATCGCGCCAGATCACAACAGATGCGGAGACGTACGTGCGTTTCCTCCGGCAGCGTTCTCTTTATTTGCGATTGATGTTGACCTAGAGGTGGCACAAACATAAGCAGACAGCGCCGACTGCGGGACATCCCCAAACGGAAGGCGACCTTGTCCAGCCCTCTCTCCTTCCTCCCATGAAGTCCCCTGAGGCCCGTGCAGGGGGGAGGTGGCACCACGAGGTCAGAGGGAACAGACCCTCGTGGTCAGTTTCCTGGGACTGACCTGTGGTGCCCGTCCCGTGCCAGACTCCACGCTGGGTGTGCGGATCCGAAGCTGGGTGACCTTGAACGGAGTCTACACGCTCTAGTCATTTCCCTCCCCGGCAGTTCACCCCCCAGGAAGAGAGGAAACGTGCCTGATGGCTCTGGCACAGCCTGTCTTCTCTGTGGTTACTTTCCTCCGAACAGGAGGACTTGTTGCCATGCCAACCGTGCATCCTTTTACTGTCATCGTAAACATAATTACCCAAACAGAGAATTCTACTTTTCATTTAAAAACCACAGGGGGTGAAGAGAGGAAGTGACCATCTTTTCTCAAACCTTCCTTTTACGTGTGAACCGGTCATGTCTGACTGCTGGGCAGGGTCTTGGGCGCTGCCTCTCAGAACTTCTGGTCCTGGGCTCTGTTCAGCGTAAGGCCCGCACAGTCTGGCCTCACGCACATAGGCTGAGAATCTGCGTCACCCCGTGGCTTCTGCCCAGGGCGCCAAGGCTTGCAAAACCTTGAGACGTGGGGCTGCTGGCCATGGCTCCTTTGCCCCCCGGAGGATGCCTTAGACATGGCACCTCTGCTCCCCCAGCCTCAGAGTGACGGGGGAGCCCCTGGTTTCTGGGCCAGATACTCTCCGCACACTCCCCCTGTGCTGGGACCCCCTTTGCTCTTTGGGGACCTCTCATCCACATGCTCACTGTTTCTTGGCTGCCAAACTTGAGGCGCCTTCAAGATCCTGGGGGTCCCCACACAGCCAGACGGATGCGTCTCTGCCCCCGGGGAGCACTCACCCGGCAAGGCAGACGCGCGCTACATCAGTGAGCACACGTGGCGGGTCCAGGTGTGAAAAGTGCTCTGAAAGAACACGGGGCCCCCACACACCAGCCCCTCCTTGCTCGGATCCCGAACCGGGTCAAAATAAGACAAAAGGGCTGGCCTTGGATCAGCCCGTGTTAGGCCCCAGGACAGGCAGGGGTGGGTGTAAAATGGGCCACGAGGTGGTGTGTCGGACCAGGGCTCATTAGAACCTCCCCAAAACACTGATTTTTTTTTTTTTTTTTTGAGACAGAGTCTCACTCTCTTTCCTGGGCCAGAGTGCCGTGGCGTCATCCTAGCTCACAGCAACCTCAAACTCCTGGGCTCAAGCAATCCTCCTGCCTCAGCCTCCCGAGTAGCTGGGACTACAGGCATGCACCACCATGTCCGGCTAATTTTTATATATATATTTTTTTTAGTTGTTTGGCTAATTTCTTTCTATTTTTTTTTTTTAGTAGAGATGGGGTCTCATTCTTGCTCAGGCTGGTCTTGAACTCCTAAGCTCAAACAATCCACCCGCCTCGGCCTCCCAGAGTGCTAGGATTACAGGCATGAGCCACCGCGCCTGGCCAAAAAACACTGATTTTTTAAAAAGGAGGTGAAGGTAACTTCCTTCCCTGCTTGCGATGCCGAGTGTGGACGGAGCAGGCAGACGTGCAAACACGATCGCGGGGGGCGGGGTGGGCAGAGCCTTCCCTGGGGAGACGCCACCCTTGGGTCTTGCAGGGCCGGCCCCCTCTACCCCACGTGGGGATGGCTCTCACCCTTCCAACTTGACGTTGACCCTCAGAGGCACAGACGCCAGCTCTGGACTTGGGTTGCCTGCCTTTTGGCTTAGAGCAGAAAACCTCGCATATAAGTATTTAAGTATTTTATCGAGTTTCCGTTGGCACCTCTCTCAATCGGCGATCTCAGTCCGCGTTAGTTCATCTCTGTTCATAGTCATTGGTTAACACACAGCGCATCGAGTTTTCTCCAATCTTCCCGTTCTTAGCATCAGAATTTCTCTCTGGTCCTGTACCTTGAGGAGGTATTTCGTGTTTAAACACCGCATGGTGGCGTGTGGGTGTTGAAATGATTATGAGAACAGAACCTAGTAGGTCTCGATCACGTGCAGATCTTTATACAATAAGTCAAGGACCCTGAAAACCAGGCTGGAGGTTGAAAGAATAAAGGAACGAAAACGATCCATTAAGCCATGTGCTCGGAGAGCACAGATCAGTGCCAGCAGAGGTGGACCTCCGCGTCACCTGTGGCAGGAGAGGGAGGACAAGCGGTGCTCTGAATGAGCCCGTGCCAGCATCGTGGCTCTTCTTCGGGGTTTTCGCAAACGTCAGCGTGTCTCCCTTTGCGCAGCTGCAGTGGCTGTTGGACAATTACGAGACGGCGGAAGGCGTGAGCCTGCCCAGGAGCTCTCTCTACAACCACTACCTTCGCCACTGCCAAGAGCACAAGCTGGACCCCGTGAACGCCGCTTCCTTTGGGAAGCTGATCCGCTCCGTGTTTATGGGGCTGAGGACGCGGCGGCTGGGCACCAGGTGGGTGGTCACCCCCACCCCGCCCGTCTCCCTCTGCCTTCCTCCAGAAATTAAGCTTTGGGGGCAACATGGGGCTTCCTCCTTCTGTCCTGACTCACAGCCACCTCCAGGTGACCTTGGGGTTGCTCTGAGCCACAGCGTTGGCCGGGGCTGGGCATGACCTGGGCGTTGGCTGTGGCCCCTGTTCTCGTCTTTAGAGGCTGCTGATGGGACTTGGGCTTCCCTCTGGTTTTCTCTCCCCTTTTGAAATTTCTCATAACAACACGTTTTTTTAAAAATCAGCCTCTAGGCCAGGCACAGTGGCTCACACTTGTAATCCTAGCACTTTGGGAGGCCAAGGCAGGAAGATCGCTTGAGGCCAGGAGTTCAAGGCCAGCTGGGGCAACATAGCGAGACCCCTCTCTACAAAAAAAGAAAAACAAAAATGGGAAGAGTGCCTGTATTGTTGTTCGGGACGTCTGCAAAGGGAGCTGACCCTGGGCTGTTTGGTTTCCAGGGGCAACTCGAAGTATCATTACTACGGGATCCGCCTGAAGCCAGACTCCCCGCTGAACCGGCTGCAGGAGGACACGCAGTACATGGCCATGCGGCAGCAGCCCGTGCACCAGAAGCCCAGGTGGGCGCCTGCGCAGCAGCGGGGGTGGGCCGGGGTTCACCCGGACAGCGCAGGGAGCGCTTCCCAAACACACAGTGAGCTCCCAGGCACAGCCTGGCCTCCGGCGCCCTGGGAGAGCGAGGTCTCGCTGTGCAGGGGCCGGCAGGAGATGGGCGGAGCTGGCAGGCGGCCTCAGCCGGCTAACAGAGTTTTCATCATATCTTTAATTTTTTTAATAGATTTTAATTTTTAGAGCAGTTCTAAGTCCACAGTGAAATTGAGCGGAAGACACAGAGGGCTCCCCACACATTCCCCGTCCCCACGTCTGTACAGCGCCCCCACAGAGCGGGGCATCGGTTGCAGTCTGTGACCTGCCATGGACGTGTCATCTTCACCTAGGTCCTTAGCGTACATTAGGGTCACTCTTGGTGTCGCACATTCTGTGTTTGGACAAATGTAACACGTCTCCACTGTACAGCATCGCACAGAGCAGTCCCACTTCCCTAAACGTCCCCTGAGCTCCACCTGGCCCTCTCTCCTTCCCCCGATCCCCTGGTGACCCTGATCTTTTGCGGTGTCCATGCTTTCGCCTTCTCCAGATGGAGTAGTTGGAATAGAAGATCTTTGCTGTTTAAAGTTTAGAGGGAAAAAGGGAGCGAACGCTGCAAATGACCCAAGCGGCCAGGAGAACCAAGCTGGTGTCCTTAAGTGGCTACTTCTTACGACGTTTGTATCCAGTGGCTGGAAAGGCTGGTCGTTTTCTGGGATGTCCACTTCCCGCCCATCCCAAACTTCCCCATCTTCGCAGGCAAGGGTCAACAACTTTTTCGTAAAGAGCCACAGAGCAGATATCTTAGCCTTTGCAGGCCACATGGTCCCTGTGACATCTGTTCAACTCTGCCGTCATTGCCAAATCAGCCTCAGACAGTACATGAACCGGTGGGCGTGGCTGTATGCCAGTAATATTTTATTTACAAAAACAAGGAGCAGAGTTGGCCCCTGGGCCATATTTGCCAATTGCTAGTTTAGGGCCCCACTCAAATGTCACCACCCTGGCAGCCTTCTAGTGTGTCCCCATGAGCCACAGAGCACCTCCTCTCTCTCCCTGGCTCCCTCACTAGAAAGAGTCTAGATGGTTCTGTCTGTATGTCCTTGCGGCCAGGGACCGAGTCACGTTTGATCTTCACGCCTGGCGCCCGGCCTGCTGCACACAACCAGTCACAGATCTGTGTGACTCAAAAGCCGTTTCCAGCTGCTCTAAGTGTCCCAGTGACTCTTAGGGCCAGTCGTGTGAGCTGGAGGTCACAGAGTCCCCAGAACATTCTCTAGGGGCCAGCGGGAAGGACGGAGCCGATGATCCATCCCACGCTTTGCCGTCTGCAGACGCGGACCCTGGAGCTGGTTGCTGCTGTCGTTCAGTCTTGGCCCCTGGCAAACCCCCGGAGTGAATCTGTGCTCCAGGCAGTGTGCTGTTTTAGGAGCAGCCACATGTTTTGTGGGGACAGGCTGATGCCATCTGCAGTTGGGAGGCCATGGCCTGACCCTGTGTGTGTCTGATGCTCAGACCGACTGTGCCTCCCCGGCACGTTCTCCCACCTGCCCATGGGGCCCGCTTTTTGTATCAGGAAATGCGCTGCCCGCTGGGGCCAGCTCCGGCCCTGCTCTCCCCACCGTGCACCGTCTGGGCTTGGGGGAGTGCGTAGTCTGGGGGGGCCTCCTGCTGTTAACAGTTCCCAGTCTGCTGCCTGGACACGAGTCGCAGAATCTCCTTTGAGATTGCACAGTAGTAAGATGCTTGTGACTCCATGCAAAGGATTTCACATGTCTTCTAAGACAGAGATATTAGGGGGAAAATATGTATATACAGCCCAAGTGCCCATCAACACAATGGGGTCTGCACATGCAGTAGAATATTATTCAGCCCTAAAACGGAAGGAAACTCTGACACCTGCTCCAACACGGATGAACCCTGAGGACATGGTGCTCAGTGAGGGAAGCCAGACACAGGACAAATCCTGTGTGATTCCACTCTAGGAGGTCCCTAGAGGCATCAGAGCCACAGAGACAGGAAGTAGAGTGGCAGGTGCCAGGGGCTGGGGAGAGGGGGTGGGGAGTGAGTGTTTCACAGGGGCAGAGCTTCAATTTGGGAAGATGAGAAGGTTCTGGAGATGGAGGGTGGTGAGGGTTGCACAACATCATGGACGTGGGCTGGGTGCAGTGGCTCATGCCTGTAATCCTAGCACTCTGGGAGGCTGAGGCGGGAGGATCGCTTGAGGTCAGTAGTTAGAGACCACCCTGAGCAAGAGCAAGACCCTGTCTCGCTAAAAAAAAAATAGAAAAATTAGCCATGTGTGGTGGTGGTGCCTATAGTCCCAGCTACTCAGGAGGTTGAAGCAGGAGGATCGCTTGAGCCCAGGAGTTGGAGGCTGCAGTGAGCTGTGATGACAACACTGCACTCTAGCCTGGGTGACAGAGCAAGACTCTGTCTCAAAAAAAAACACAAAAAACAGCAACAACAAAAAAGTGAATGTGCTTAATGCCACTGAACTGTGCACCTAAAAATGGTTTAAGTGGTAGCTTTTGTGTTACGTGTATTTGACCACAACTTGTATACACACACACACACACACACACACACACACACACGGACTGCATCCTGTCCAGCCCCCTGCCCCTGCCCCTCGAGCCCACCCCAGACAGTGCTGCTGGGCCTCATGTTGGCACACGTGTCCCCTGCCTAGGTACCGGCCAGCGCAGAAGACGGACAGCCTCGGCGACAGCGGCTCCCACGGCGGCCTGCACAGCACGCCCGAGCAGGCCATGGCGGCGCAGAGCCAGCACCACCAGCAGTACATAGGTGAGACCCCCGGTGACCGCGCTCAATGGCTACTTTCGACAGTCTTCTCGTACAACACCTTTTCGGGCAAACAGAAAGTTCTAGATAGACTTTCTTTCTGGTAGCCCTGAGATTTTAGAATAATCAGCCAAAATAATTAATATATAAAGTGACCACCAGAAAAATGAGCATCCGTCCCCAGCTGGTCAGGGCGGGCAGGCGTCCTAGCTCAGAGCCTGTCTCGGGGACAGCAGGGACAGCTTGCTGGTGTTGGTGATGTCATTATTCAGACACTCAGCGGCCTCCATGCACTCTTACTGTATTTTTTGAGCTTGGACAGAGCCCCGATGGGTTGAGTCTCCTGGGGGGATTGAGATGATGTCAGGCCCCTCTCCAGGAGGTCACTGTGGGGATGCCCTGGCTGGCCACCTCCTCAGATGTGCTGCCCTCAGTGGGGTCTGTGGGGAACAGCGGTTTCGAGCACTCGCCGTGGCCAGGGCCTGGGCGCAGGGCTTCCCCTAAGAGCCCCGTTTCTGATGCTCCGTGTTCCTCCCCAGACGTCTCCCACGTCTTCCCAGAGTTCCCGGCACCCGACCTGGGCAGCGTCCTGCTGCAGGACAGCGTCACCCTGCATGACGTCAAGGCCCTGCAGCTCGCGTACAGACGGCACTGTGAGGTGACCGCCCTCCCCAGGCCGAGGCAGGCGCTGCCACACGTCCCTCGCCAGCACCGCCAAACACTCAGGCATCACCAGTGTCCCCCAACAAGGAGACAGGAGCCCCGGGCCCCCCACCAAGGGTCCTCCCCCTGAGCAGGGGCCCCTCCCTCCACTGCCGTCACCTGCTGCTCCCCTCCTGGCATCCCTCTCGGGCCTTTAGAAGACCCGGCTGCCACCCGGACCTCAGCTCCTTGCTCGGCATGTTCTGGGGACACGGGAGACACACACGTTCATCTAACTGGTCGTTTCCGTTCCCAGGCGACTCTCGATGTCGTGATGAACCTGCAGTTCCACTACATCGAGAAGCTGTGGCTGTCCTTCTGGAACTCTAAGGCCTCCGCCAGCGACGGCCCCGCCTCTCTGCCCGCCAGGTGAGCGCCCGGCAACCCGGCTCGGTTCACAGCCCTCCACAGGCTTAACCCACAGGCTGTCCCCTGCCGATGCCCGCACGTGACCACAAGCAAGGGCAGCGACTCTCCGAGCAGCAGGGCGCAGCGCCCCCGTCCTTGTCGTTCTTGGTCCCGGCGGAGTCGCTCGGTGACGCATGTCCCACAGGCCCTCTGCCGATCAGACAGTTTGAACACGGGGGATCTTAGAGGTGACCATGATGCAATCCCAAGTAGAAGCGACCTCAGCTCTCTCGCTGCGGGGAGACGCCACAGGCGGGGGAGGGGACGGCATGGATCCCGGGGGGAGACATAGAGGCGCTGGCATGCGGCCCAGGGGCAGCACGGAGCGGGGCAGGCAGGGCTCGCACCTGCCACCAGCCCTTCCCCACCCCCCCTGCCGCGTCCGCGTCTCAGCTCTCTGGTCATTCCCGTGGCTGAGTGCGCCACACAGGCCCCGGCCGGCTCACCGTCCCCTCCCTCTACAGTGACGAGCAGCCCGAAGGCGCCGTCCTGCCCAAGGACAAGCTCATCTCTCTGTGCAAACACGACCCCGTCCTCAAGTGGATGCGGAGCTGCGACCACATCCTGTACCAGGCCCTGGTGGAGATTCTCATCCCCGACGTGCTCAGGCCGGTCCCCAGTGAGTGGGCAGACCCCGCCCTCTGCCCGCTGTCGCCTGCCTCTTCCCCTTCCTCCCTGCGCGTCTCGGCCTCCTCCGACCGTCTCTGTCACAGGAATGCGAAAGCGAGAGCAGCAGTCGGCCGTCCCTCGGATGCGTGTCCTCTGGCATCCGGACTCTCCCTGTGTCTGACCCACGGGGAGGCTGGCAGCGGCTCTAGTGAGCTCTGCCCACCAAGGGCAGGCCAGGCCAGGCTAGTGCTTTCTGGAAGGTTCCTTGGGGGCATGAAAGCTGGCCTCTGGGAATAGCCTGGGCACAGCCCCGCAGCTGCCACCTCAGAGGAGGCCGTGGCACTGCCACTGCAGGTGCTGAGCAGCGTCCCTTCCTCCACCTACTCACGCCAGGGGCGGCCCCCGTCACGACAACCACAAACGTCCCCAGACACTGCCCAGTGTCCCCTGGGCGTGTGATCGCCCCAGGCGAGACCCACCGTCCTAGACAGCGGGCAGTGACACACGCGCCCCCGGCACTAAGCATCCTCCCTTCTCAGTTGCCTGTGCCTGCCCAGCAGTCCTCTTCTCCTCCGTGTCGCTTGTCCTTGCAGGCGGTCACTTTCATGGCGTGTGCATCGTCCTTACAGTCAGTGCTGGTTTAAGGGCAGGACACCGCCTTCCTCACCGCTAAACCACAATCTGTGTCTCCCAGGTACCCTGACGCAGGCCATCCGGAATTTTGCCAAGAGCTTGGAAGGCTGGTTGACAAACGCCATGAGCGACTTCCCGCAGCATGTCGTCCAGACCAAGGTAACCCGGGGGCAGGGGCCGGAGAGCGGCTTTCTCTCTGTGCCTGAGGGTGGCTGGTCCCCTCAGCGAGCCCCGAGGGTGCAGTCGGTGTAGAACAGGTGCTGGCAGGAAGGGGTCGTTTGATGTCACATATTTGGGTAGATTCAGAGCAGATTGAGTATTTCTGTGCTCATCATAGAAGGGGACTTTTATCTCTTTGCTGCGACCTTGTTACTAGAGTCTTGGCTGCAAATCAGAATTTGAAATGTGGAGACTTGGAAAGAGAGTAATCACCAGTCTTCCTCCCAGGAGTTTCCTAAAGAGGCATCTGGTCTACCTGCCTGCCCTCCGGATTGATCCCAAACTTTACCAGGGATTCTCAAGCTCCAGTGCGCCACCTAGGTGGTTGCTAAAACTTCAGATTCCCAGGCCACAACCCCAAAAATCTGATCCAGGAGGGCCCAGGAATCTGTATTCTCTGCTGACATTCCAGAGAGCCAAAGGGATTCTAGCGGCAGGGCGTGACCTCGTGCCTAACTCGCTGGTGCTGTGGCATCTGTCAGAGAGGCCACGCGATACGCTAGCGAGGTCACCAGCCCTCACTGGTTCTTACTCTTTGAGTCCTTAAGAATGGTGGTGGGTGCGGGGGTCCTTCCTTCCTGCTGGAGTTGCTCCTCCCTGCGCTGTCCCTGAGCCCGCCGGCCCTGCGGGGGCAGATGGAACCGCGTCTCCTCGCGAGTGCCGCCTGCTCACGGGGGCCTCGCTCGCAGGTCGGTGTGGTCGGCGCCTTTGCGCAGACCCTGCGGCGCTACACGTCCCTCAATCACCTGGCACAGGCGGCGCGGGCGGTGCTTCAGAACACATCCCAGATCAACCAGATGCTCAGTGACCTCAACCGCGTGGACTTCGCCAACGTGCAGGTGACTCTCTCAGCGTGCGGTTCCCCAGGCCTGGAACGGGGCCCGCGGCCCCCAGCTGCAGAGCAGAGACAGGGATCGTGACCTCGGCCTGAAGTCCAGACCCGAGCCCTCCCCTACTGCACCAGCCTGGGCTTCTCACCCCGTAGAAAACCCAGCGAACCCACAAAGTTGAGCTCCCCGCGACCCACCCCGGTGCTCCATTTTACCTCCTCAAGGTGGAGACGGAGGGTGCTCGGCTCCCGGCCGCCAAGGCCAAGAGCAAGGAGGCCTGAACGTGGCATGACGTCCCACCTAGAGCACGGTGGGGTCCAGGGAGGGCTTGGGGTCGCTGTGCACCCCGTCTGTGGCACAGGCCCCGTGGGGCTGACGCTGGCCCCGTCCCGAGCGCAGGAGCAGGCCTCGTGGGTGTGCCAGTGCGAGGAGAGCGTGGTGCAGCGGCTGGAGCAGGACTTCAAGCTGACCCTGCAGCAGCAGAGCTCCCTGGACCAGTGGGCCAGCTGGCTGGACGGCGTGGTCACCCAGGTCCTGAAGCAGCACGCGGGCAGCCCCAGCTTCCCCAAGGCCGCCCGGCAGTTCCTGCTGAAATGGTCCTTTTACAGGTACGACCCCCCCACCTCCGAGAGAAGGTTCGGGGCGGGGGCGTGGGGGGAGCTCCGGAAGTGATCCCACCTGCCACCCAGCCACCGAGCTTAGAGGAAAACGGGGCTCAGCAGGGCTCAGGCAGTGGCTGAACCCCCGAAAACAAGTGCTCAACTTGGGGCTTCACTCCCGGAGGGCGGCTCCCAGGGCCAAGGCCAGAAGCCCACCCGTGGCCTAAAGCTAAGTCGGAAGCTTCTGGAGACAGGAGCTCTACCCTGTGCAGACCGCAGCTTCGGGAGGGATGTCACCCAGAGAGGGGCCATATATACCAAGATGGCAGCTGCAATTAACACCGAAGTATAAACAGCTCTGGGGTTATTTTCTTTTAATTTTTTTTTGTAGACAGGGTCTCACTGTGTCACCCCGGCTGGAGTGATGGTGCGATCACAGTTCACTGCAGCCTCCAACTCCGGGGCTCAAGCTTCCTCCCGCCTCTCGATGTTACCCATAGTGTGTCTCCCTTTGCTTTTCTCGTCCCCCTCAGTTTCACGGTGGCCCTGCGTGGTCTCTGGGAGTTTACGGGCAGCCCTGTCCCTACCAGTTGGTCACATCAAACTCGGGGGCATCTGGCAGGTCTGGGGACCTGGGGTTCCCAGACGAGCAGGGAGCCGTCGCGAAGCTCGGCCAAAGGCCCCGGGTTCTGTGCTCCCCCGAAAGGCCCCCCAGCCTCTGTCTGCTTGTCCCCAGCTCCATGGTGATCCGGGACCTGACCCTGCGCAGCGCCGCCAGCTTCGGCTCCTTCCACCTCATCCGCCTGCTCTACGACGAGTACATGTTCTACCTGGTCGAGCACCGCGTGGCCGAGGCCACCGGAGAGACGCCGATCGCCGTGATGGGCGAGGTGAGGCCCCTCCCGCTGCGGGACCCTGGGGCCAGGCCTGTGGGCAGCGGGCAGCATCCCGTGGCCCCGAGAGAACGCACGCAAGGGTCCCGGCTGCCCTGCGCCTCGCACTGTGACCCCAGCAGGCTTCCTGCCTCGCCGCGGAGGCCGCAGACACCACCCGTGGGTTTCTTTTCATTGTGGCAAAAACACACATAATACGTACCATTTTAAAGTGCACAATTCAGTGGCATTTAGTGCGTTCACCATGTCCAGCTGTCACTGCTGTCTAGTTCTAGAACATTCCATCACCCCAAAAGGAAGCCCAGCCCCATCAGGAGTCACCCCCATCCCCTCCCCAGCCCTTGGTGACCACGAATCCACTTCCTGTCTCTGTGGATCTGCCCGTTCTGGCATTTCATATAAATGGAGTCACACACTGTGTGTCCTTCTGTGTCTGACGTCTCTCACTGAGCACGATGTCCTCAAGGTCCCTCCACGCTGTGGCCTGTGTCAGAGCCTCGTCCCTTTTCGTGGCTGATCGATGTTCCAGTCTGTGGATGGGCCACGTTGGGTGCGTCCATCGTCCCTTGTTGGACACTGGGGGTGTTTCCAGGTTGGCCGCTGTGCCCACCTGTTTTCAATTCTTTGGGGCCCACGCCTCGGAGGGGACTGCTGGGCTGCGAGGGGCCGTGTTGAGGGAGAAGCGAGGCAATGCCCAGTGAACGGCCCCCCCCACTCCTGCTGTTTAAAGGCCGCAGCACTCTGAGGGCTGGTGACCCAGCCCCACCACCTGCCCAGAAGCTGTGGGCGGGTGTGTCGTGCTCCACACAGTGGGGTGGGCCCAGGCCCTGGGGCAGCCATGGGGTAGTTCCCATGCCACATGCAGACTCGGGGAGCAGGGATAACTCAGCCCCGGCCTCCCACACCACCACTAAAGGCCAGACCAGCCACACCCAGGGGACCTTGGGTGCCCCGTCCCCTCACTGGCCTGAGCAGCTCCTGGGGTGGCTGGGACAGGTGAGAGGGACCTGCCCAGACCCCTGGCGGCATCGGAGCCCCTCCTCAGGGCAGAGCCCCAGGCGCTTAACTGTCGCTGAGGACGTTGCTTGGGGCACGGTTGGTAGCATCCCTGGGACCCCCAAGGAGCAGCTGTCACCCTCTGCGGACACCCCTGACTCTGGGCTTCTTTTTCAGTTCAACGATCTCGCCTCCCTGTCACTGACGCTGCTCGATAAAGGTGGGTGTTGGGCCCCAGCCTTGGCTTGGCAACCCCATCTCATGATAAACAGGTGGAAACTTGGGGGGGTCCTCGGGGAGAGGGCCCTGGGAGCTGGTGTCCAGCTGGCAGGGGACACCCCGGCAGCGGCCACATCCCAGTGATGCCCCCGAGCTCGGCCCCCCATGCAGGCAGCTGCACACCAGGCCTGCGGAGCAAGGCCAGGGCCAGGACGGGGCAGCCCAAGTGGGACAGGCAGCCAGAGAGGCCCCAGCCCTGCGGGGAGCACGGCCCAGGCCAGTCGGCCGGTCAGGGGACGTCATGGTCAGAGGCTCCCTCGGCATTGCCAAGCCAGGGGCACCTTCAGGCAGCTGGGCAGGCCAGGGAGGACAGGCCAGCGCAGAGCAGAGGCTGCCACATGTGCTCGAGGCCCTGGCCTGTTGGTGCCTGCGCAACTGTGAATATTCGATTTTCTCCCTCCCTCCCTCCCACGGCCCCCTCCTCCCAACCCACAGACGACATCGGCGATGAGCAGCGTGGCGGCGAGACCGACCCGGGCGAGCCCCTGGTGAAGCGGGAGCGCAGTGACCCGAACCACTCCCTGCAGGGCATCTAGCACCGGCGGGCGCCTTCCGAGAGGTTCCGGAAGATGCCGCCCAGCCACGCTGGGAACTCGGACTTCACCGGCCCTGCCGCACCCGTGCCTCTCAGACGATGTGACGTTTACTCTGACGCAAGGGGTGGCCGGGTCAGCGCCCTCGAAGGACGAGTTATTGTTCCAGAGGAAAACGGCGTTGACGCTGCAGCAGTTCACGTTGGGGTCCCACCGCCCGTGGCTGTACTCTGGGCTTCCTGAGTGCCCGCAGCCCACCAGGGGCCACCCCAGACCTTCCGTTCCTCATTTGGGACAAACCCTCCTCTGCCGGAATTGTGAACTTTGCCTGGAGTCCCCGAGGGGCCGTGCTAAGAGCGTCGGTACCACCATTCAGCTGGTACCGATTTTCAACATGATTTAAAAAAAATCCGGCAGAACCCGGGAAGGAAGGGACAGCCCATCCCTGCCTTGTCCTGCCGCTTTGGGCAGGTACAGAGCTCGCCGGCGTCCCTGGGGTCCCCTCGGGAATGGAAAGCACAGTGCCCTGGCCCTGCCACCTGCGTCAGGGAAGGGACCATCTCAGCAGCTGCACCTCGTGGCCTTTCGTGGACAGACCGTCCTCCGCTCCCTGCCCTGCCGGCCCCTGCCGGGCCGGGGAGCCCTCCTGGCTCGCAGGAGCCGGATCTCGAGACGCCAAAGGACTCGCCAGAAGCAGCTGGCAATCGCGGTGTCCCTGGACACATCCGCAGCCTAAAAAAGAACAAGCCATGCAAACAGGCTCACTCGTGCCAAGACACGGCAGTGTCTCTTAAGAACTCCAAACCGGAAGTTCTATCCGCGACAGGAAGGATAACGGGGTTCGGTCCAAGTTCACGGTCAACATCGAGCCAAGCCGCTGGCACTGGAATGGGCTGTTCCAGGAGGTCAGCACCCATGTCCTCGCCTTCGGGGGCAGCCAGCCCTCGCGTCCGCAAACAGCAGTGCCTGCCACCGCTCCACGGAGTCTTCCAGAACACCTCCCTGTGCATTAGCCCATCCTGGAGCACTCCGACCCCCTGCGGGTCCCACCTTGACCTCTTCAAAGTCAAAACTCTTTGGGGACAAATACCCTGAATTTCAGACACTCCGAATTTGCCTCTTCCTTGGAAACACGTAGCCGTTGCACTCGGCTCGCTACGTGCCAGAGTTCCGCCCCGACACCAGCTGCAAAAACGGAAGTCAACCCTTGGTCTAGGAAGCACCGTCTAATGAAATGCAATAGTTTCTCTTCTTGGAAAGATTTCATACCCATAGTTTTGTGCTCTAATTGTTATTAGAACGTTTTCTTATGAATGTGTATATTGCCGTATATTCAGTTCCAAATACTTTGTTCTCGTTCACACAGAAGGTACTAATGTAAACTCACGTGGCCTTTAAAAACCTTGCTTCCCAGCAAGCAGGAGCGCGGTGCGTCGCTCTCCGGCACCAGGAACAGAGATGCGCGCTCACTTTAGAAGCAAAAAGTCCAAATAATCACAATGTTTATCTGGTCTTTACAGTTCTAAACTTAGATGAAATCAGACAGAAGGAATGTCTTTACAATATACGTCTCCTCTCCTGGGAGACAGTTAAGCTCATGGTTAACAGATTGTAACGACCCGGCTTTTCTTCCGTTTGTGGTAACCAGTGCAAACTGGGTTTCTGCCTTACACTCCATCACTCACGTCTTTCGGAGAAATAGAAGTGACAGTGAAGTCGTTCTCGTTTTTTCTAAACACACTGAGCCTGCCCGTTTTCGGGGTCACCGTGCACAGCTGAGCCCCTGCTCCCCCGCCCCGGCAATGTCCCTGGAGGACACACCCTCCTTCCCGCCCGTCCCCTCTGCCCTGGGACCCCAGTGCAGCCAGGCTTGGCCACACAGACCAGCCCCATTCACACGGGGCAGAAGAGAGAGACGCACCCGCTGTTGGTGCGACCCACAGTTGGTTCTCAGGGTTACTCCGCACAGTGGTGGCCCCAAACTTCAGGATCACTTGAGACTCGGTGCGTGAGCTTGTTGACAAGTGGCCGATTCCTGGACCCCGTCTGCAGAGGGCCTGGCTTGGCACTGGGGAGATTGGGGTGGGGGCCAGGATTGTGTTGCTGCCACTGTCCCCTCTCGGAGGACTCTGGCGCTGGGGTTATAGGACTTTGAGGAAACCCTGCAGAGGGGAGGGCCGGGCTCAGGAACAGGGAGGCCACGGGCTGGAGGGTGTCCCAGACGGGTTGACAGTTCCTGGTCAGCTGCTCCTGAAATCTGCTTCTTGGGTGCCAAGCCGGTCCCCTCTGTCCCAGGAAGAGGGCCTGGCGTCCTGGGTGACTCTAGAATCACCCCTCACTCCCGGGGCCGGGGACTCCTGGGCCTGGGCTCGGTTTAATGCTCTGCTGTCACCATCTTGAAATTCTTAATTTTTGAACAAAGGGCCCGTGTTTTCCGTTTGCTCTGGGCTCCCCCCGAGTGGTGTGGCCGATCCCGGGGAACTCCAGGACTCAACCGTGTCCCGACTCTGTGCCAACTCCTGCCGGGCTCTGCGCATCGGGCGGGAATCCATTCAGCCCGGTCTGCGGTGGGCCACAGTCTCAGACCTCGCTCACCCTGGGCTCCCTCCAGCTGCCGCCGCTGAGCCAAATCGAGCAAGTGGCAGCCCGTCCACGAGCAGCAGCCCCCTCCGAGAGCCAGGCCCCGTGTGGCCTGCAGAGTCCTGGGGCAGGAGACCCCGGCTGTGCCCTGGGGGCCTGTGAGGCTGGAGAGGGAGTGGAAGCTCCTGAGCACGGGTGATGGTGCCCCAGGGATGGCTGCCCAAGGACAGAGGAGTCAGGCTGGCAAGTGCCTCACGGGGCCCACTGGGTAGGGCCCCAGGGTGCAGGTGCCTCACAAGCAAGAGGAACCTTGGTCCTTCCACGTGCTTGCAGGAGGCACTGACTATAGTCACAGCAGGCTCCATGCTAGACACTTCTGTCCCATCTCCTCTTTTTAATAATCTTTTAAGGTAGATGCTAGCCTCATTGTACACATAGGAAAATGGAGGCTGCTGGCTGGAACGCAGACGTGATGGCTGGAGCACCAGCAGCCATCTTGGACCTGGAGGTGGAAGTCTTATGACAAGGGTGGCAAAGCAATGAGGCAGAAGGAGCTTGGGTCCCTGGTGATGTTGGAGCTGTCCAACAGCCTCCAGATGAACCACAGAAGGGAGCGCCGGGGGGCCCCACAGGTGTCCCCGACTTCACAACCTGGTGGCAGTTTCCCACATGCCCCCCAATAGCAGATATATAAGAAGGGAGGGATGCTCTCTGGCTGAGAGCACCCCTGCCTCCCAATTTCCCCCCCGCCACTCTGGCTGCTGCCCCTCTGCCCCTGGGATCTTCCCTCTTCTCCTTCCACACCCTTAGTGACCGTGACCATTCCCACGGTGGAAACTCTACTCCACATGCTGCCGACTTGCTCTGTCTCTGCTCAGAGCCTCATGGGTGCCTGGTCCTCGACAGAGCAAGGTAGGAGCTGGCATCTGGCCGTTCAGACCTCCCGTGTGTCTCCATCGCAGCGTGGGCCCGCCATCCGGCCACCCCATGCCCTTCCCCGCGGCCTTTCCCCCTCCTCAAAATGCCCATAACGCAGTCACTTCTCCCTGTCCTCTTCGCCACTCCCCAACTCCTCCTGGGCCGGGACAGGCAGCACGGAGGGGTGGCGGGGCCCAGACCACACAAGTTTGAGTGACAGCTCCACACTCCCGAACTGTGTCCTCAAGTACATTACTCTCATCAGTTTTCCCATCTGGAAAAAAGATAATAAAAACGCCCACCTCACAGCGTCATCGTGAGAAATAATATAAAGAAAGCACTAGAGTGAGCCTTCGATAATTGTTTCTCCCTCTGCCCACTGTGGACAGGAGGGGCCGGGTCATTCTCTGGGCTGTCCCTGGCCCTGCACGATGGTGCTGAGCAGCATCCCTGGCCTCCACCCACTCCATGCCAGGAGCACCCCCCAATCCTAACTACCAAAAATGTCCCCAGACACTGCCAGTGTCCCCCGGGAGCTGGGAGGCATCTTCCTCTTTAGCATTCAACTTTTTTTTTTTTTAATTGGCACTTCTTCCAGGAAGGCTTCCTGAATGCTCTCCGGCTAGATTAGGGTCACTTACACCCCGTGTGTCCCCTGCCACACTTTATAGTCATTGTTCGCAAATCCGTCTTTCCCATGAGCTCTGCAGGTGAGTAGCTTTCATCTGCCTTGTTCAATACAGACATTGAGCAAGTAAGCGAGGAAAGGTTTGAGACATCCAAGAAGAGGCATCCAGTGTAATCCCAACTCATTGGCTTCACGGTGACCCTGGGGAGGCAGGGAAAGCGACCCCGGCATGGAGGAGAGAAAGTATCTGGAGGGCTGCTGAGGAACGGCCACACTAAAACTGGAATTCCTGCAGGAGGTCACTGCTGGAGGGTTTCGGTGTAATCGAAAGCTTTGGAAAGATCTATGCTGCTAGGGCGGATTGCATAGCAAAAATCTGGAAGCAGGGAGGCCAATTAGGTGCTTGTTAAAATCATACAAGTGAGGGGGACATGGGGATGGAGGCAGGACATGAGGGAGCCGGGTGCCCCACAGTGGCGGAGGGGCTTAGAAAAGCAAGTTGGTGGTTTATGACCAGTTTTTTTTTTTTTTTAATGAACCAGGATAGAAATAAAAAACATCAGGAGTGTCAATGTAATAAAGATAAACAGGGCTTTGTAAAATTGTCATTTCAGTACGTGTGTGTGTGTGCACGCACGTACATACATACATCGTATTGGGCAGCAACATAAAATGCGCTGGATGTATGTATCGAAAGCCACGATACTAGAGTCGTTCTCAACTTATTTTGAGGTCACGGGCCCCTCCTACAATCCGCTGTCATGGACATTTGTGAGGTTTTGCTATCCAGCATTTCTTTGGAATAACACCCTGATTCTCTTTTGAGGACTGCCTGGTTTTAAATACCGTCTCCACGTGGGTGGCTCTCACACAAGGA